GAGGAATCCAAGGAAATTCCAGCAATGGCAAGTATTCCCTCCTCTGGTGAGAGAGAAGCTAGGATAAACGGGGTACCATCAAGGTGTGGTGCATAGCTAATGAGGTGAGTTTCAGAGAGTAGTATGAGAAATTTCACTAGGGCTTATTGACAGAATCCTTCCATGAGACTCGCCAATATTTACCAAAAAATGGGAAAATTCTGGTACAATTCAGTCCACTGTTTCAGGACAGGTTCTGAAGAAAGTTACTTGAAATTAAACTCTGTTTCTCCCTTCACAGATGATGCTAGATCTGTTGAGTACGTCCAACATTTTCTGTGTTAATGTCACTTGGTGCAAACTATTATTTACAAATGCTGTTTCTGGACAAAGTTGATTTGTTCGTGAGGATTTGTGAAGGGTATGACAGTAATTAAGTATGCTGGGAAAGTGTGTTGAGTGTGCAGTGGCAAGGAGAATATTGCTCATTCTTGATGAGTAATTGACATTGGATATAGAATTAAAGTGAGGGACAGTGAAGATCTGAACAAGACAAGGTATTTTGGGGATGGGGAATGGGAATTTGTTTGAGCAGTTATGGGCTACATGTAAACAAGAAAATATACCAGAACTGCAAGAACTACTGTTGCATCAAATTGTCACTGATATGTGACAGATCATGTTTGAGAGCCCACCAGCAGACGTCATGCTGTCTTCACTGTCAGGCCCACAGCCATTTTCACCATCTTTTAGGGCCCCATGATGAAGCAGAAGTGTTTGGTGAAAAGGCAAACTTACCTCACATCTGATTAATGGCCCCTCTCCATCACCCAGCTATGCAAGGACAGCACACCCATAACAGGTGCCATGCAGCTGCAAGGAACATTAAGGAGAAAACCATTGGCAGCCTGTAAAAACTTTTGCCGCCTGGTTTGCTTTGGGAAATGCCCTCTAGCACTCACCAACGTGTATTCAATTTCATCTTGTACTATGGAGGAAGCAGGAAAGGCACTGAAGTGACAATGGTGGGAACAGGGATAACATGAGGTACGTGCACCACAGGATCATTGTCACTCCCTGGGTCACTTCCTCAGCAGTTCTATTCATCTGATGAAGGAGAAATTTCCAGAGAGCTGTGAAAACCTGCCTGCTTCAAGTACTGAAATCCACAGCCTTGATGGGAACCATCTGACGGTCCATGGCAGCAAGCATGGAATCCATGACCTCAGTCTGAATTTCCACTGCAGCACCTTACAATGGAAAGGACATGCTAGCTGCCAGCCAAATCATCCTGGTCGCATTTGCAAGTGGCATTGTAGAATTGGGATGGGTTTTTAGTTCTGTAAGAAACTCTGCCAAGCTGGAACTGGAATCCACCTTACTCCTTGATAAAAACAACAAGCTGTTTGCTGGGCTTGCACATCTACCAACCACCTCAATATGTGTGCTTATCAGCTTTCCAGTACCCTGCCCATGAAAATTCTTATCTGAATTCTCTGCAGCAGAGCTGGGGAACAGGCCTATGAAGTCTCCTGTTGGTATATTTGCAATCTGGGTGTGGCTTCAGGCACAATGTTCAGTATTAGAATCTGAGATAGTGGCTTTGATATTCAAGTCATATGATGGTGCTTTGTCCTCGGATCTGTAGCATTCTCATCTTTCCTCATTAGGCTGCAGAGGTTCATATGTACCTGATGTTATAAATACAGAAGTGGAAACGAGTGGGTGAAAAGCAAGAGATCCATGATCACACCATTTGCAGCTTTCATGCTAATATGGAAAATAGGGATAATGAGGCGGTATTCAAATTAACCCCAAAAGGATCAGTGTTAGGGCCTCAATTATTCACATTATTTATTATCAACTTTGATAATGGCATAGAAAGCCATATATTCAAATTTGATGACACAAGGACAGCATTACAGGCAGCAAGGTGATACCATAAAATTCATAGACTAAGTGAATGGGTAAAACTGTGGCAGATGGAGTTCAATGTAAGCAAGTGTGAAATTATCCATTTTGGACCAAAAAGAATAGTTCAGGATACATTTCAGATGATATGAAGTTACACACGGTGGGTGACCAAAGGGTTCAGATGCATAGATTTTTAAAATGTCATGAACAGGTGCAGAAACTAGAATCAAAAAAGGTAATGGAATAGTGGCTTTTATATCTGGATGCCTGGAGTACAGGAATGCAGGAGTTATGCTGCAGTTATACCAAACCCTGGTTAGACTCCACTTGGAGTACAGTGAGCAGATCTGGGTATCACATCTTACGGAAGATATATTGACCTTTGGAGGGAGTACCGCATAGGTTTACAGGAATGATACCTGGACTTAAGGGGTTAAGTTATGAGGAGAGATAATATAAATTAGGCCTGCTTTCTCTAGAATTTTGAGGTTTAAGGGGTGATCTGACCAAAGCAAGATATTTACAGGAAAATACAGTAGATAAACTGTTTCCATTACTTGGGGATCTGAGAATTAGGGCCTGACAATTCATGAGAGATGTTATGAAGCACATCTACAGACAGGGTGGTGGCTGTTTGGAACTCTCTTCCATAAATGTTGGTGGATGCAAAATCAGTTGTGAATTTTAAATCAGAGGTAGAAAATTTTTAGTTAAACAAAGGTGTATTAGGGGATATTGACCAAAGGCAGGTATGTGGATTCAGACCACATATTAGCCATGATCTCATTGAACGGTGGAACAGGCTTGAGGGGCTTAATGGTCTACTGTTCTTATGTATTAAATAGCAGGAGGAGGCAAGATGTGCTTTGAGAAGCAGCACATAGTGGGCACATTCTGTCTTTGAATGTTCTTGGCATTGTGCACACAATGCTCCCATGATGATGAGTGTCTGTAGAGGGCTTGAATGATGTAGATGTTCTCTCTCCAGTTCTGCTCTGAAAAATCCAAATTGAGCACAAAAGACAGAAGAATTACAAACAAAATGTGACAAAATATAATGGAAGTTATAAGTTTAAAAAAAAAAGAAATATTGGTTTTTATAAATGCTAAAAACACAAAAATATTGAAAATTACCAAAGAGAAAAATGGGGCTATTGAAAAATTCAAACTACACATATTTCTATTTAAACAAAAGCAAATAAATATAAAAAGAACCTTGCACTGCGTTTTTATTGGCTTTGGTAGTGCACGTGGGGCAGTTGGAGAAGCTGAACTGTTGGCATTTCAAACTAAAAGCCAAAATTAACAATAAAACTGGCAGCAGAATGAATTATTAAAAGCTACGAGAAAATATGAAACGAGCAGAACTTGGGCTAAACAAGAATAGCATTGTGGGATATTGGCTCCAAAAAAAAAGCAAGCTAAAGAGGCAAGCTTTGAAGTTGGTTTGTTTTCTCAGTAACTGAAAGGGGAAATAAATAAAGAAAACTGGTTTATTGATACTTTAAAATTAAAAGCAGCCTTGAATTTTGAAAAGAGGTAGACAATTGTGTAAGAAGGGCACCAGCTTCTTTTAAAATAATTAACCTGACTTGAAATAGAAACTAAAGCTTTATTTAAAGTGCACAAAGACAAGAGAGGGGTTCTAATGAAAGGTTATCAACTCAATATTAAACCTTTTGTTTCTTTGCCAATGCCACCTGCTCCCTATTTTTAATTTTCAAATTTCCAGAATCTGCTTATTTTCCTTTAATTTTAACAACTTTGAACAGCATTTTGATAAATTATCTGTGGAAGGTACTACAACTACAAAAAGGCATGATGATGTAACGCTGATTTATGAAGTTGCAGTGCCCATCCCATTGTCCTGTTTATGGCGTTAAGTAATTTTCTATTGGATACTGAATTTAATTAGAAAATAGAGATTTTGGTAACATTTTTTTGTTGAAACTTCCTCTTTTTAAAGCTGTGCTAAGGATGATGTGCTAACTACAGTTCAAACACTGGCATTAAATTTTAACTTTTAAATTAAAACTCAACTAGAAAGTGCTGGAAATGCTCAACAAATCTGGCGGTATCTGTGGAGATATAAGAGTTAATATTTCAGGTCTATCACTCTTCAATAAAACTATAGAATTTAGAACATTGGGTGGCACAGTGGCTCAGTGGTGAGCACTGCTGCCTCACAGCATAGGGACCAGGGTTCAATTCCCCCCTCCGGTGACTGTGGAACTCCACACAGACATTCTCCCCAAATCTGCGTGGGTTTCCTTCCAGAGTCCAAAAATGCGCAGGTTGGGTGGATTGGCCATGTAAATTATCCAGGGATGTGCAGGCTGGGGGATTGGCCATGGGAAATGCAGGGTTATGGGGATAGGTAGGAGGGTCTGGGTGGGATGCTCTTCAGAGGGTTGGTATGGACTCAATGGGTCAAATGGCCTGCTTCAACACTGTAGGGATTCTATGAACATTAGATTCTAGATTTAATATGAATTTAAGCTTACATGTTGCTAAGGGCAGAGTGGAAGGTAATAGAAAGAGGGGTCGACCCTAGGCTTGGTTGAATGCTGGATATTGCTGAGTGGCTGCTGATGGCTTGCAGTGGGCGTGTGAAGGTGGAGTAAGGCTAACACTTGAAGTATAGCAGATCTCCTGACAACAGCAGCAAACTAATAAGTATGTTCATACCAGAACACTCAAACTATCATTAACCTGAGGCCTAAGGAAAGAATGTTGTTTTGAGAATGCCTTTTGTTTGATATTCGTAATATGTTCATTCAACAAAAGGCCCATTGTCTCATAAGCTTAGCCTCATTACATATGGGGAGGTAGGGAAGATGGGGTGTGTGCATGTTAGTTGCTAGGATACCTGGGATGCCTGCAAAGCTGTCCTCCCCAAAATAATATCAAGATCTCTTTTTTGATTCAGCTTTCACCTCCCTTCAACTTTGATTCTTCTCTTTAGATATTTTATTTTGGGAAATATAACTGATTCTGATGAGAGTGCTTAAAAAATGGATGAAGGCTGTATAATTACAAAAGAGGGAACAAAAAAGCTTTTAAGAAACTGCATTTATTTCTCTTTGTTCTGTAACAGTCTAGTATTTTTTTTCCAGGTTCCTGAAAGGCTTGCCTGTAAATACAGTATCTGTATCAGAGCATCTGAAGTCTAGCATCCAGATGGATTCTATTAAGTCTGGAATTCAATACATCATCAGCACTCGGGTAAATGTTCAATACAGTATCTCCATATAACTTCCTAAAACTGGCTTTTTTTTAAACAGTGTTGTTTGATGATGCCATTCTTTGCATGAAAATCTTCCCCATTATCTATCTCGAGATTGTGGCCTTGTTGATGACTTACCCACCAATGAAAATTTATAGGTATATATTTATGTCATCTTTTCCTTTCATCATTTTGAACAATTTTTCAATTGCTTGCATCCAGGGCTGAATTACACACCAGCATCACCATCGCCCCTGTCCCCCTTCACAGGAATCCTGCCATGCTGGTAACTTTTCACAGCCTTTCCCACTCTGGTAGGGGGCAAGGTAGGATTGGCAGTAGGCATGCGATCCCGCTGCATTTAACACACACCCGCCTTCAAACCATTAGCGGAGGAGGGTAAAATCCAATCCCAAATTGCCTTAATTTTGTGCTTGTTACTCAGATTATATTTTTTCTGCTATAACCCTAAGATTACACTTATTCCACAGCTACTCTTTCCTTAGCGAGAAGCGCAAGATTGCAAATGATCTTTTTGATCTTGTATGCCATCTCTCTTGTTATAATCGCCAAAATCCCATTAATCTTGTTTTTTTAAACATGTGCACTCACTTTTATATTTTGTACCTATTTGCTTCCTTACTACATTAATATATTTTTTATTTCAAAAATGTAATTTGTTTTACATATCAAAATACATCTACCACCTACCAGCCTATTCTTCCACTTTTATTTGCCCTTCTGCTATCTCTTACATTTTTTCTAGCTCATTGTTGTGCTTCTCCCACATTGGTATCATTAGAATATTGTCTTCAACATCCACTTCTTTTCCTCAACGGGGGATTCCTCCCATTGTGGTTGATAGCCCTGTCAACCATGTTCAATCATCATTCGCACTTCTGCCCTCACCCCTTTCCTATTCTCCTAGAATGATAGTGTTCCCCTTGCCCTCACTTTCCACCCATCAGTCTCTGCATTCAAAGAATCATGATTGATTTCTGCCACCTTTAGCAGGATACCACCACCTAACTCATCTTGCTTTGCCCTTCACTTTCAGCATTCTGCAGGTACCATTTCTTCCTTCACGCCTAACACTTCCTCACTCCCCTATGTTACCTTTCCATGCAATTGGTGAAGGTGCAACATTAGCCCATTCACTTCCTCCCTCCCCACCATTCAAGCTCTAAACACACCTTCCAAGCAAAGCAGTGTTTTACTTGTACTTCTTTCAATCTAGTCTACTGCATTCACTGCTCACAATGTGCTCTCCTTTACGTTGGCAAGACCAAATGCAGACTGGCAGACCACTTTGCAGAATACTTTGCTCTGTCTGTAGAAATGACTTGGATCTTCCAATTGTTTGCCATTTCAATAAACCACCTTGTTCCTATTTTTGGAGTCATATAGTCTAGACCAGTTTAGTATGACAGATTTCTTTCTCCAAAGGACATTAGTGAATCAGATGGATTTTTATGACATGATAGTGATAGTTGTCATGGTCACCATTACTGAAATTAGTCTTATATTCCATATTTACTGCTTGAACTTAAACTCTATCAGCTGCCATTATGAAAATTGACATCCTTAGATCTGGGCCTCTGGATAGCTAGTCCTTTAACTTAACCACTACGTCAACATCATTATTTGCTCTAATTATTTCACTGCCATGGAGGCACCCAAAGTCAGTGTGCAGCAGCGGCTTTCAAGACTGTAAATCAATGCAGGCAACAATGCCATTATGCTAATTGGCGTACCTGGAACCTTCGTGCAACATCGCTATTTCTCCATAATTGGCCTATGCCTTACGAATATTCAGTTATTTAGTGGTCAAGTTAATGGATCAATATTGCTTCCCACCTCTACTACCAATATTTTGAATAGTGGTGTATAATCAGATACAGCTTCTGTGGACATAATGTGTTTATTGCTTCCTGACTAATTTTCAGCATTCTTCCTGGATATTGACGTATTTATCACCTTTATTCCCAAAAGAACTGTTTCTTTTCATTAATGTACATTAATTCCTGTTTTAGCCGTTTTATAAAACACAACTAGTTGAACCGGATGATGTTAAAATTGCATACGTGAGTTAGTTTGTTTTTGCTGTGGGATTGGAAGGAATATTTAGGTGTTTTCTGTTCTTGGATAGATTGTGGTTATTTACCTTCTCTTAGAGATTACATGAATTAAAATAAGCCCTTGAAAGTTAAATAAGTCCTTGTTAGAAAAAAAATTGATGGCCACTTTTTCTTTTTGTTCCATTCCACACTTTATGTTCTTTTGAGAATTTAGTATTTGTTTTAAAAGTCTGGATTTCCTTTCCAAAGGTAGGACCGGGGCCACAGTCGATACAAGATGCCAACCTTCACCTACTTGGAGAGGATGGATTTCCCAAGCTATAGTGCTTGAAAGAAGCCTCTCTGCAGTTGGAGGGAGAGCTGTAAGATCTTTATACTGATTGTAATAAATTTTGGCATTTGTTTATATGAGTTATATTTGTACATGCAGACATCTCTGGTTTCAGTTTGTATCAGCAAAGGTTCATGTTTTCAACTTCTGGCACATAAGATGCCTGAATTCTGAATAAAGAACTAAAGCCAGGTAAATGCAGAAATTTGCAGAATAGTTTGGACTCTGCTGTCTATTTAATTATATCTGACCTAATAATACAATTTCAAATATGTGTTCCTGGATCTTGACTTAGTTAATAGTATAGTTTTGTGTATAAAAGGAAAAAAAATCTTGCACTGTACAGTAATGTATACTAGTGTTTATTCAGTAACATTTACCGTTTACCAATATAATTTAACATAATTTAATTTCTGATAATATTCCATTTAAATTTCTATATCAAAAACTGAATGTTGTTTACATTTAGATTTGAATCTAGAGCTTATAACTTTCACAAACAAGGTGCTGCATCCAGATATAAGTCACTAAGTAACGAAATTGTTTAGAAGTACGTGGAAGTTTTCTTAAGTTTTAATGAACTAGTATACAGAATATTCCTATAAATCCTTTATCATCTTTGTATATTTGAATACATGTCATTGATATCAATGGTGGATACCAAATGCAGATGGGGTTTGCATCTTTGAATTGTAAATACCATAGATTTGTATTTTCTTTCGAATGTTATCACTCAACCTTGCTCTAATTCTATTAATTAATACACTACATTTCCTCAAATATGGGATCCATTCCAAGTTATAAGTATCATAAGAAATAAGAGCAGGAGTAGGACATACTATCCCTCAAGTCTGCCCCATTATTTGGTAAGATCATAACTGATCTTCTCAGATCTCAATTCCTCTTGCATGCAAGTTCCTTACAGCCATCAATTCCTGTTTTTCAAAGCTATGTCTAGCTCTTTTTAAAATACTTTCAGTGATCTAGCCTCCAAACTCTCTAGGATAGAACATTCCTGACATTCATTAACCTCTGGAAAAAGAAATACCTTTTCATCTCAGCTTTAAATGAGTGTCCCCATTTTCTGTAACCATGTCCTCTATTTTGATATTCCTCCAGGAATGGAAACATCTTCTCGTCAATTACACTGTCAAGCCCCCTCAAAATCTTATGTTTTAATAAGATCACCCCTCATTCTTCTAAATGCTAATGAATAAAGGCCTAAAGTCATTCTTCATAAGTCAAACCTCTTCATCCCAGGAATTAGCCTAGTGAATCTCTTTGAACTACCTCCAAAGCCAGTATATAATTTCTTGAGTACAGACTGTGTACAGTATTCCAGGTGTGGCTAGATTTACCAACAGCCTGTACAGTAATTAACAATTTGTAACAAGACTTCCTTATTTTTAAACTTCAACTCCTAGCAATAAAGGCCAAAATTCCCATTGCCTTTTTAATTACTTGCTGCACCTGCATACTAACATTTTGTTAGTTAGAAACATGTTTCCAACCTCAGCAACTCAGATAATTAGATAACGTTAAGATGGTCTATGAGCATTTTATATTTTTCAAATGCGATAACCAGATACTGTCAGAATGTAAAAGCTAATTGAAGATAAAAGGTTGAAGATGTGACTGGTCCAGAGTAAATTCAAAGAGTGCTAGCAGAAGAGTCTACAACTTCTGTGTTGGCTTATTGTTGGAGTGGAGGTATATATTGTATTTGCATGTTTTCGAATCTAATTTGGGAACTGGAAATCTTTATATAGTTTTATTGAGTATTGGCTTAATTTTTAATGCATTTTGAATTATCACCTTTCTAATTATGGTATCGTATAAGTACCTTGTTCATTTAATCCTTTCCTCACTATCAGTCATCCTGATCTCAGAGGTTTGACATTGTCACTTTGAGCTTGCTGGGATCGGGGCCAGACTGGGATGGCGGAATAAATGGAATTAGGTACCATGCCATCATACCATTAATGGATAGTCAGTTCCCTCCACTTTGTGTGTAGCTCATTTCAGATTTATAACTGGGGATTCATGGTTGTGAACCCAGATACTCCCTTCAGTTGGTGCACATTAACTGCAGATTATCCTGTTGCACCTCATTCTAATTTCTTCAATTTTTCCCTGATTCTGTATTCTCTTTTGTTGATGCATGATTCTACGACATGTTTCTAACCTTACATATGTCCCAAACAGTATATAAATTTTGATAAAATGAAGGAGATGCAGACATTGTGCAGCAGAATTGAATAAATTCTTGGTATTAAATTAATTTTTACAAACTACCACTGCTTGATCAATGTGTTAATGACTAAACTTTTTTAACATACATCGACTCTCTTCACATACATTATGTATTGTTCCCCTTTACACAGGTGTTCTTGTGAATGTCCTGGAGAAGACAAGATAGAAAGCTATGACAAATATGCCTTTTTTTCAGCAATACTCAATTTTTGACAAGTGCTTATATAAGATGTATGTCCAATTTATTTTTAAGTTAACAGTGCTGTGTGAGATTTTCTTGAAAAATAAATTGTTACTTATAATCTGCATACATTTAATTTTATTTTATCACACTGGTTTCATATTAGTATTGGCCTGGAATTTGTACCTATATCCTATGGATTTTTAGTTTCCACAAACAAATATCTCGATAATCCTAACATCTAACAGTCTGTCTACCATCAGCACTATATGATCAGAAAAATAAGTATCCAGATTATGTAACACTATGAGAAGGGACATGATGATTATGTAACACATGATGATGGGACTACATAAGGTAGAACCAGTACAACCTGAAAACTAAAGAATGTCAGCCAATGAATTAACATGCACAATAATCTTGGTCACAACGGGAGAATCTGAATTATTCTAAATATACATATATGCGGTTTTGTCTTATGGTTTCCAATTTGTTATCTTCCTGATGAAGGTCATCTGTTTTACGCCCTGCTGAATTTTTATTCCCAGTGAGATCGTTAGAAGGGAAATACAATGGGGTTGCTTATCTATCAATACCTATTTTGCATTAGTGCTGAAGATGAATTTCAGTCCTTCTTAATTTTGAATGTCATTTTTTTACATTTTAAAAGACCAGAATAAAGGGCCAGCTACTAAATTAAAGCTAGGCACTAATGTCACACCCACTTATAAAACTGCAAAAGTAGCATTTTAAATGAAATTTTAGGATCCATTGAGCTATATAATGCTTACTGTGGGAGTGTTGCTGAACAAAAAAGACCTTGGAATGCAGCTTCATAGTTCCTTGAAAGTGGAGTCACAGCTAGTTAGGATAGTGAAGAAGGCATTTGGTATGCTTGCCTTTATTGGACAGTACATTGAGTATAGGAGTTGGGAGGTCATGTTGTGGCTGTAGAGGACATTGGTTAGGCCACTTTTGGAATACTGTATTCAATTCTAGTCTCCCTGCTGTAGGAAGGATGTTGTGAAACTTGACAGGGTTCAGAAAAGATTTACAAGGACATTGCCAGGATTGGAGGGTTTGAGCTATAGAGGAAAGGCTGAATAGGCTGGGGCTATTTTCCTTGGAGCATTAAAGGCTGAGGAGTGACTTTATAGAAGTTTATAAAATCATGAGGGGCATGGATAGGGAAATAGACAAGGTCTTATCCCTGGGGTGGGGGAGTCCAAAACTAGAGGGCATAGGTTTAAGGTGAGAGGGGAAAGATTTAAAAGGGACATAAGGGGCAACTTTTTCACACAGAGGGTGGTGTGTATATGGAATGAGAGAAAGTGGTGGAGGCTGTTACAATTACAACATTAAAAAGGCACCTGGATGGGTACATGAATAGGAAGGGTTTAGACGGATATGGGCCAAATGCTGACAAATGGGATTAGATTTATCTAGGTTATCTGGTTGGCATGGACGAGTTGGACTGAAGGGTCTGTTTCTGTGCTCTACATCTCTATGACTCTATAAGCAGTATAGGGTCATTCTTAAAAGGCACATCAGGAAGGCAAAGAGGGGGCATGGGATATCCTTCACCGATAAGGTTAAGGATAATTCAAAGAGTTTCTACAAGCACATTAAGAGCAACTAGAGAGAGTAGAGCTCTTTTAAGATCAAAAAGGTCATCTTCGTATTGAACCTCAGGTGATGGGAGAGATATTAAATGAATGTGCTGTGCTACTTTTTACTGTGGAGAAAGAAATGGAGGTTAGAGAACTCAGGGAAATAAATACTGATGTTTTGAAAACAATTCACATTACAGAAGAGGAAGTGCTGGATGTCTTAGAAAACATAAAGGTGGATAAATCTCTGGGATCTGATGAAGTGTATCCCAGGATGTTGTGGGAAATTAGGGAGGAAATTACAGGTCCTCTGGCAAAAACATTTGTATCATCTATAACTACAGATGAGGTGCCAGAGGACTGGAGGGTGGCTAGTGTTGTGCCTTTATTTAAGAAAGGCCATAGGAGAAGCTTGGGAGTTATAGATCTGTGAGTCAGATGTTGCTGGTGTGTAATTTATTGGAGGTGATTCTGAAAATTAGGATTTACATGCATTTGGAGAGTCTAGGAATGAATAGGGATAGTCAGCATCATTTTGTGTGAGGGAAATCGTGTCTTACAAACTTGATTGTTTTTTTGAGAAAGTAACCATAAAGATTGATGAGGGCAGAGCAGTAGATGTTGTTTACTTGAACTTTAGTAAAACCTTTGATAAGGTTCCGCATGGTAGACTAATTAGATCTCGAGATTCAGGGTGAGTTTGCCGATTGGATACAAAATTGACTTTACGATACGAGACAGAGGCCGGTGGTGGAGGGTTGTTTTTCAGACTGGAGGCCTGTGACCAGCAGTGTTCCACAGGGATCAATACTGGGGTTAAAATTGTTTCAGAGAAAGTAGGAACTGCAGATGCTGGAGAATCTGAGATAACAAGGTGTAGAGCTGGATGAACACAACAGGCCAAGCAGCATCAGAGGAGCAGGAAAGCTGACGTTTCGAGCCTAGACCCTTCTTCAGAAATGAAAGCTTGGCCTGCTGTGTTCATCCAGCTCTACACCTTGTTATCTGGGATCAATACTGGGTCCACTTTTGTTTGTCATTTATATAAATGATTTGGTTGAGAGTATAGGAGGCTAGCTTAGTAAGTTTGCAGATTACACCAAAACTGAGTATAGTGGACAGTGAAGAAGGCTATCTAAGATCACAAAGGGATCTTGATCAATTGAGTCAACGAGCTGAGGAACGGCAGATGGAATTTAATTTGTACAAATGTGAGGTATTGCATTTTGCTCAAACAAACAAGGGTAGGACTTATACAATGAATGCTATGGCCCTGGGGATTGTTACTGAACAGAGAGACCTCGGGGTTCAGGTACGTAATTCTTGTGAAATTTGCATCACAAGTAGACAGGGTGGTTAAGAAGATGTTTAGCACACTTGCCTTCATTGCTCAGACCTTTGAGTATAGGAGTTGGGATGTCATGTTGAGATTGTACGAGATGTTGGTGAGGCCTTTCTTGAGTACTATGTACAGTTCTGGTCGCCCCGTTATAGGAAGGATATTATTAAACTGGAGAGGGTTCATAAAAGATTTACTAAGATATTGCTGGAATGGAGAATTTGAGTTATAAAAATAGGCTGGTACCTTTTTGACTGGAGTGTAGGAGGCTGAGTAATGACCTTATAGTGATTCATAACATCATAAGGGGCAAAGATAAGGTGATTAGCAAGGTGCTTTTTCCTGAGGGGCGTTCAAAACTAGGGGACATTTTTAAGGCAAGAGAAAAAGATTTAAAAAGGACATGAGGGGGAATTTTTTTACTCAGAGTGGTTTGTGTGTAGAATGAACCGCCAAAGGATGTGGTGGATGCAGGTACAGTTACAATGTTTAAAAGATATTTTAATAAGTAAATGAATAGGAAAGCCTTGGGGAGATATGGGCCAAATGCAGCCAGGTGGGTCTAGTTTAGTTTGGGAACATGGCATGGACTAGTTCGACTGAATGGTTTGTTTCCATGCTGTATGACACTATGACTCTTTGCAAGACACGTTCAAGGTTACCTGTTTATTTTTAATTTCCCGATGATACCTCTGGTTCTATGTCAATGAACTTCAATGTGTCCTCTGCTTACCTACCATTCTGCCATCTGGACCGTTTCTCCTTATTTACTCTATCAAAACAATTCGTGTCGTTGAATACCTTTATTAAATCTCCTCTTTAACTCTCCTTGTTCTGTGGAGAACAATACCAGTTTCTCCAGTCTTTATGCATAGTTGAGGTTCCTCATCCTGACTTAACTTTAGTATTTTTTTTTTCTGCATCCTTTCTTGAGATGTTTACATTCTTCTAAAGGATGGTGGCCAGAACTGAACACGATACTTCAGCTGAGGGATGACAAATTTTTATAAAGATGTCGGCACAAAGGTTGGCACAACAGCGTGGGCTGAAGGGCCTGTACTGTGCTGTACTGTTCTATATTCTATGTGATATAACTTCTTTGGTTTTATTCATAGAATGATGAAGTAAAAAAGCTATTATGATTTTTTAAAAAGTCCTTTCAACTTCTACCATTTTCAAAGAGTTATGTACACATAGCTTTAGTTTCCTGCAGCCCTTTTAAATTGTTCCATTTTATTTATATTGCCTCCACCAAAATGAATCACTTCACACTATGCTGAAAATTTTGCAATCTTGGAGATTCACCCTTGCCTTCCTATAATTCTCAAACCAGATGCAGTGCATTGTTACCTGTCAGTCATTAATTAGATTTGTGATAAGTAAAACAAGGAAGCAAATACAAATAATTTTCTTCCTGATGTGGTCAGAATGTAGGATACAACAGTTGATTTAGTAAGATGTGCAGTGTCCAAAGCAGATATGATCTGTGTTCAGGTTCATTGCTGCTTCCAAACCTGACCTTCACCTTGGCTGAAAGATTTTGCCAAGCTCTATTTGTTCTCATATTGAACACCTTCCCCCTTTGACTCCACTCACTTCCTCCAAAAAAAATGCTATGTAAATTAATGGGTGCTGGCATGCCTGCCTTTTTGAGTGATATATGCAACATTTGTTCCTCTTTTACTCGGGCCCCACCCTCACATCTTTTCAATAGATCAATGACTGTTTCAATACCATTTCCCACTCTCGGCTTGACCCGGAAACATAGAACATAGAACATTACAGCGCAGTACAGGCCCTTCGGCCCTCGATGTTGCGCCGACCTGTGAAACCAATCTGAAGCCCATCTAACCTAAACTATTCCATTATCATCCATATGTTTATCCAATGACCATTTAAATGCCCTTAAAGTGGGCGAGTCTACTACTTTTGCAGGCAGGGCATTCCACGCCCTTACTACTCTCTGAGTAAAGAACCTACCTCTGACATCTGTCCTATATCTGTCACCCCTCAATTTAAAGCTGTGTCCCCTCGTGCTAGCCATCACCATCCGAGGAAAAAGGCTCCCACTGTCCACCCTATCTAATCCTCTGATCATCTTGTATGTCTCTATTAAGTCACCTCTTAACCTTCTTCTCTCTAACGAAAACAGCCTTTCCTCATAAGACCTTC